ATCATTTTCATGCTGCAGAACCCAAGTGTGCTTCAGCTTGAGATCACAAACCGGACCGGACAATCTCCTTCGTGATATTTTGGTAGAAAAATTCATGGTTCCAAGTCTTCCAGGTCCTGAGGCAGCAAAACAGCCCCAGATCATCCCACTGCCACCACCATATTTTACTGTTGGTTAATTTCATAATGGTGTTTTTTTTAGTTTAAGATCTGGTAACTACAAAGCCCACATTATATAATTTGCATCACTTTCAACCATTCAGTAATTGAGGACTGTTCCTTTTCTGAAAAGCTGTGCTAGTTTTATGGCAGATGTAACGGTACTCAAACATTCCAAATAGTTGAATCGGTCCACAGAATACTTTCACAGATGTCTTGGGGTCATCAAGATGTTTGTTTTGGCAAATGTGAGACAAGCCTTTGTGTTCTTTTGGGTCAGCAATGGTTTTTGTTTGGTGAACTCTCCCATGGATCCTGTTTTTGCCCAGTCTGTAAATCATGAACTCTGACCTTAACTGAGAAATGTGAAGCCTGTGGTTCTTTAATGCCGTTCTGGGTTCTTCTGTCACCTCCTGGATGAGACTTCAACATGCTCTTGGAGTAATTTTGGGAAGGCTAATCACTGTTCCATGTTTTCTCCATTTGTGTATAATGGCTCTCACTGTGTTTCACTGGAGTCCCAAGCCTTGGAAATGCCTTTGTAACACTTAACATACTGATGGATATCAGTGATTTTTTTCTCAAGTTTTTCTTTAGATGGCATGATGTGTTCCTTCTTGAGATCTTTTAGCCTTCCTTAACTTTGTCTAACAGGTTCTGTTTAAGTGATTTCTTGATTCAACAGATCTTCCAGTAATCAGGCCTGAGTGTGTTTAGTGAAATTGAACGCAGCTCTCCAAAGAAAATGTGGTTAATCACAGTTAATCAATGATTTACCAAGAGGGGCAATTACTTTTTCACACAGGACCAGGTAGGTTTGGATAACTTTTCTCCTCTAATCAATGAAATCATCATTTAAAAAGTGCATTTTATATTTATTTGGGTTATCTTTGTCTCATATCAATTGATGATCTGAACCATGTAAGTGTGACAAATATGCAAAACACCAGGAAATCAGGAAGTGGGCAAACACTTTTTCACTCCACACTAAGTCAATTTGTTTAAAAACAAAGTGAAGCCACAGAGACATGCTGTGACCAAACTAACATATACATGAACCACCCCGTCTCCATTCAGTGCAGTGGACACATTTGTGAGCCTGTTACCTTCGATGACCTTTTAGCCTCTCTAAAAGAGAGCTGCTCTCTCAGTGATGCAGAACTTCATAAATAGCTCCAGCAGCAAGTGCTCCTTGCCTTTTAGCGTCTGGACTCAGAGACGTTTGAGTAGTGCTGTTTCACACACTGAGGTTAATTATGGAGTTCCACAGGGTTCTGTGCTAGGACCAATTCTACTTCTTTCCATTATAGTAACATCCAAAATTTGTGGTGGTGTTCTGCCTCACTTTCTCAGAACAAATATCTGAAAATGTAAGTTCACAGGCAGCATCGACTGCCTCAGAGCACTCTACTACATATATTACATATATTCTAATACTTGTAAAACTGATTTCATGATAAATTCCCCAATGTGCGTTTGTGCACTAGGCTACATTTTGTACAAACTATTACTCCAGTACATTTTTAGCTACAAAAGTAATAAGGCACAAAAACTGATGAAAATGTATTGACTTTACATGAAAATACTAGTAGACTAATCATTAAGGTAATCAGTCACCTAATGCGAGTGCTTTCACAGTAACCGCAGAAAAACATTTAACTGTTCAATAAGCTGCTGTCCATAGATGAGTGAAAAGCAATCATTACAGTGTAATCTATTCAGCCTTTACTCCCCAAGGACATGTGGTTATGAAAAGCATGTTTAAATCTAGGCTCTTGGAAGCTATACTAATTTACCATGTGCTCATTTTACTTGCGCATAATTTAGACACATGGAGCTGTTGTGGTTAAAGCCTGGTCAAACAAACAAACAAACAAACAAACAAAGCTATGCGGTCAAAGCTGCAAAGACTCCTCAGGTAAAGAGTGAACTAGAAATGCAGATTACAATAATGAACCTTTTAGCTCATGAGCCAATCCTGATCAGTCCCAGTAACCCTGACCCAGATAAACATTTGGAGTCTGTCAGTAAGACTTTCACATGACAAAGAGTATCTAGAAAACACACCCTTTGTTCTAATATGAATAGGGGCATGACTGTGCTAAACTCTATGTTGGGGTGTACCATGTTTGACACTGAGCTGTTCGAGCGTGTGTGCGCAATCACCTTCCAGAGAGCAGCACTGACAGCTTGTCAATAGCGGTTTTTCCTTCTACGGCGAAGCAGCGGTCCTTCTCTAAAGTTTGGACTTCCCCGTCACAGCAGGCCACTATCTTCCCAAAATGGGACAGTGACACTCCGACTCTTTTAAACATGCAGCTATACAGCTCCTGGAAGTCCTTGTCAAACGAAAAGCTCCTCAGCCTGTATGACATGTGCAGGACTTGTACCAGACACACCGCGAAGATCGCCAAACTCCACAGAAAAGAGTCCGTGGTGCAGGAGTCCGACCACGACCAGAGAGTGGAGCAGAAGAAGCCCAGAGTGAGAAAGGTGAACAGGTAGAAGAGTCCGTAAAGGCCACTGCCCCCCATGAAGCCAAGGAACAGAAAGATGTTGGCGAGATGGAACACCGATCCTTCCGCACCCTCTTTCCACTCTTTGCACACCGGGTAGGCAGACACCTCCGGCGCCACCGTAAAATTCATGCTTTCGAAGTCGGGCGGCTCCATACTGTATAAAGCGACTCGACCCGCAGCACATCCACCACAGCCAGCCTCGCTCCGTGCCACCAGAGCGGGTAGAAAAACGCTGACACCTCGGCCCATCACTCATAGGTGGAACGCAGAAACAACCAATCAAATCGCTACGTTATATCCAATGAAAAAAAGACGGAGTTTTTACGGAACCATCAGAGCGCGGGTTCGAGTCCAGGTGCGGACAAAGCTCGTGTTACATGATGAAAGGATAAAGACCAGTTTTTACTTACTGTAGAAAACAGTTGCTTTGTGATTTCGTTTGATTATCCTGTTTATTTGTAAATTATTATTATACAGTGTTACCGCCCATAATGCAGAATAAACTCTACCATTACACTTTTGAGATGGTACACACCACAAGTAATTATAGGTTATGTGTTTGCTGCTTTTATGTTAACACAGGTTTCCAGTTCTGTCCTGTTTTAGTTATTTTTCAAAAGATAGTTTTAGTTTATTTCAGTTTTTGTGAGTCTGGAATGTCAACAATTACATACACGTCCCAGTTTTAATGCAAAGTCACACACAAAAAGCTGTAATACAGATATATTCTGATGATATAGAAAATTAAGCTTATGCATTAGTTAAATTAGGACAGTATTTAGAAACCCATTTGAAGGCTTCCTCGCTCTTCGGCTGCTAGTTTGTGTCTTTCAGACACTGTCATGCAACCCACCTCCTAACTCCTTTCACTGCTGGGATTCTTTCTTCTATGATGGGTCATTATAGTTAATTGCCAGATGGCTTACTTTATTTTTGTCTTTAATAAATCATGTTTGGTATTTCCACACAATCTCTCCTTATTGAATTATTTTGTAGATAATCTAATTAAATGTAGAAAAAATATCACTGAATGAAGGGTAAAAAAAAGTAGGTGATAAGAATTCAATTTTAATCACAAACCTACATTCACTGACAAAAATCAAAGCATGAAAAACAGTTATTAACAAGAAAAAACAAAGAAAAACACCTTTAACCACTGCTTGACACCTGAGGCATAACAAACAGAACACACACACACAGACACACACCAAGGCTGTGATGTGACACTGAGGAGATAAAACTGCTTAAAATCTGCTTCATGCATCTGTTAATCTGATTTGACTGACACCAACAAGACATTTAATACATTTTACAAGGGGTCACTTGCCCCTCCCTTCCTTCCCTCCCCATCTCCAGCTGCCTCCCTCTTCCCGCTCCACCACAATCACCCACACATGCAGGGCCTTGGGGTAAAGGTG